ACGTACACGTGTGTGTATGTGTGTGTGTGTGTACACGTACACGTGTGTGTGTATGTGTGTGTGTGTGTGTGTGTGTGTGTACACGTACACGTGTGTGTGTATGTGTGTGTGTGTGTGTGTGTGTGTGTGTACACGTACACGTGTGTGTATGTGTGTGTGTGTGTGTGTGTGTGTGCACGTACACGTGTGTGTGTGTGTGTGTGTGTGTGTATGTGTGTGTGTGTGTTTGTACTCACATATATTCATATATGCATGCATGTATATGCACATATATATTAATATTAATAAAAGATATTCTTGTGTATATACAATAATAATGGAAGTAGTAATGAAGTAGAAAAACTCAGACCACTGTATTTACTTGCTCACCTGTCCAGAATACATTCATTATGCGTGAATACAGTCAAATACACATAATGTAATGTTGGATCGATAAACTTGCGTCTATAGCCTTGATCCTTAATACCATGTACATGTTTGTCGAACGTATTGACGCTGCACAGAGTTACATTCGTGCACGTATCAAGTTTGCGACTATTATTGATATTGTATAAATGGTTTTTTAGTTTTATGTCCTTCGCAAATATATACATGTTACAATATAGGAAGACAAACAGAAATAATATCATTCCTCACTGGGCAATTTCCATTTCATAGTTTCCTTTCTCCTGAGACCGAGGTTTATGGAAACTTGTCGAATTTGTGGCTGAGTAGGAGCTCCTTCATAAAATCGAACGAGAGCTGACAAACAGGCCTATACGATCAAAGCAAATAGTGAAAAAATTGTCATATCAATCTTGTTATACGTTGCAGAGACTGCAGGCACATTCAGAAATCGTTTGAAGTTGATTGTTAGCCGCCTAATTCATTCGTCTCGTGACGTATGAGATATGAGTACATACTACATACACACGAACACAAAGTGAAAACTGACTTACGGAAGCGAATATAAAGGTTTAAAATTTTAAGTGCAGGATTTGAAGCACCATTGAGCCGCCTAATTTAATCGACTCATAGAACATGAGTAGTCGATAAGCGATAAGAGCCTTGGGCGCCCTTCGTGCATATATACAACAAATACTTACACGCGCACAATACACACAAATATAAAATATGTGCAAATGTAGAAATTTAATAAATTATTTCAAGTGCAGGATTTGAACCTACGCGCTCAGAGAGCATGAGATTTCAAGTCTCACTCCTTAACCACTCGGACAACTTGATGTTAATATTATGGAAAAGAAATACATTATAAATCACTCACTACATAAAGACAAGAAATTGATTTGTGGCAGTATGACCCACGAATCAATGTATTAGCTGGTAGGGCAGATAATACAGAACTTCTAAACAACTAACAAGGGTTAATAGTTTATTTATTTGAAATTTTGCTGACGGTCGACAATACTTCAAGATGGAAGTACTGTACTGCTAGCAGTGAACCGATACTGTTAGTCAGTAGTTCGCTCAGATAATGTAAATAATGCGGAGCCGGTTGTTATGGACCTAGGGTCTGGCGCATGCACCTGGCCTTGGGTTAAAGGCACATTCTGTTCACCCTTATACTACAGCCCAGGGGAGACTCAAGGTTGTGGTTGAAAATATTTGGGCTGAC